CTGTGCTAAATCCTTGGCCCTTAGCAAAGCCTTATATCAAAATTAAAATTTTTGCCGGGCATGGTAGTGCACACCTGCGATCCCAGTATTTGGGAAGCTGAGGCAGGAGAATTGCCTCGAGTTCAAGGCCCACCTGAACTATACAGCAAGACCCTGTCTCAAAAAAAAAAAAAAATTAAAGGCCAGAGATTTAGCTCAGTGGTTCCACCACCTGCCTCAAAAGCAAAAGGTCCCAAGTTTGATCTCCGGAACCAAAAAAAAAATTTAAAAATTTTAAAAGGACTAGATTATAGTTTAGTGTGAAAGCCTTGAGTTTAATCCTCAGTACCATAAAAAATACTCCTATAGGTCCAGGGATTTAGCTCAGTGGTTCCGTCACCTGCCTTGCAAGAGCAAGGACCCGAGTTCGATCCCCGGTACCAAAAAAAAAATACTCCTATATCTAAATAACAAAAAGTCAAATAACTCAAAACATGGAAAAGGACTTCAATAGACATTTTGCCAAAGATTATATATAAATGGGCAACAAGTGTATGAAGAGATCATTGGTCATTATGAAAACATAAATCAAAGCCCCAAGGAGATACCATTCCGCAGTAATTAGGATGACTATTATTAAAAAACAACTACCATCAGAAGCTTTGATGAGGATGTAGAGACACTGGCACTGTATGCATTTTATGGCAATTCCTCAGAAAATTAAAAATAGAATTTCCATATGTTGTAGCGATTCCACTTCTGGGTACATACCAAAAAGAATTGAAAGCAAGGGCCCAGGGATTTAGCTCAGTGGTTCTGCCACCTGCCTTGCAAGCACAAGGACCCGAGTTCAATCCCTGGGACCAAAAACAAAACAAAAACAAGAATTGAAAGCAGAGTTTGGGGGGGGGATAGTTGTATACTCACAATAGCCAGAGATGGAACCCAACCGAAGTGCTGACAGATGAATGAGTAAACAAAATATGGTGTGTATATATACAATGGAATGTTATTTAGCCTTAAAAAGGAAGAAAATCCTGTCACATGCTATCATATGGATAAGCCTTGAGTGTATCATGGTAAGTGAAATAAGCCAGTCACAAAAGACTGTATGATGCCGGTTATACAAGGAATGAAGAATGGTCAAAATCAGAGAGCGAGCCAGGCACGGTGGTGCACACCTGTAATCTCAGGACTTGAGAGGCTGAGGAATAAGGGTCACTACAAGTTTCAGGCCAGCCTGGACTACATAGTGAGTTTGAGGCCAGCCTGAACTACATAGTGAGACCTTGTCTCAAAAAACCAAAAAAGCAAAAAAAAAAATCAGACAGAAAGTAGAAAGGTAGTTACGAGGGGCTGGGAAGGAGGAATGGAGAAGTTGTTTAATGGGTACAGAGTTTCATTTTTACAAGATCTGTTGTGTGACCATTTGTATATAATTAAAACTACTGAATTCTACACTTAAAAATGATTAAGATGGTTTTAAAAATGTTTGCAAAGGGCTGGGGAGGTAGCTCAGTGGCACTGCACATGCCTGGCAAGCACAAGGTCCTGAGTTCGATTCCCATACCAAAAAAAATGTTTGCAAAGAGATTTTAATGAGATCAGGAAATGGATGGAAGACAAAGGGCAGGAGAGCACTGGCTCCTGGGAAAGAGCTGGTATGCTGGAAGGAAGGGACCACTGAGAAGGCAGATGGGGAATGGAGACAGGAGGGGGCTGGGTCCTGATGGTAGAGTCCTGGGCCACAGTATGGGCTTTCTCATGCCTCTCAGAAACTCTTGGAAGAGGGCTTCATCTTTCCTAGTAGCTGCCAGGAAGTCCACATCTCTTTAGCTTTCCAAACTCATCAACTTGAACCTTCCTAACTGTAGCTGAGTCCCACCCCATCCACAACGCCTGACCGGGAGAAGCCCAAAGGCAGCCCGACTGGCTCTCACTTGGCTCTTTCAAGCTGCAATAGACACTGCTCTCCCTGCAGCCCCTGGGAAGCCTGGGAGGTAAGTTCCTGGGCTGACGCCAGACCAGGTCCCAGGGGACAGCACCCCATAGTTGTGGGACATGGCTCTCACACATAAGTGTGCAGGACAGCCGGGGTAGGGGGTCAGAACTTCCCTGGAGGCCATGGTTCTCAGGCTTCCATGGAGTCTCCCTCAGGCCCAAGGGGCCAGACTGCCCTTTCCTGACAAGATGTCTCTTCCGCCCAAGGCTGGGTCAGGGAAGGCAATGGGACAATATTGTCTCAAGGACAGAAGCTGAGGTGGGGGGCGGGCAGTTTCAGCCACAACCCCCAGGTGGAAAGATCTACCTCAAACCTAATCGCCCTAAGCCCTCATCAGGCCGCAGAAGAGATCCCTGCCCTCTGGTGGCTGGGCTGAGAGGCAGTAGCCAGGGCCCTACCCTGAGGATCCCACTCTCTGCTGTTATTTTGGGTGCCACCAGAGTCCCTGAGATAGGAGGCCCTAAGCAGGAGGCTGGGGGTTGGGGTTACAGGCCCCCAACTTTATCTCCCCAACCAAAGCTGCCAGCACAGGATCTCAAAGCCTGCTTAAACCCGACATCATTGAGAGCAAGTCCCAAGTCCCACTTGAGCCTCAAGGTTCTTCACAGACTGGGCGCAGTTAGCCCTCTCATGTCATCCCACGCTCCCTTTCCCTTCCCTCTGTCCTGCAGCCCTCCAGAACTCCTCCCCCTCCCCCAGCACAGAGCCATCTCCCGAGACCCCAGCCAATGTGGTCACTGTCCCCCACCTTCTCGGTATGGGGCGCATGCCTATTCCAAGAGTCCTCCCCAGCTGTCCTCCCCAGCTCTCTCCCTGCTTTCCAGCACCATGGCCAGCTAGCCTGATAAATATTTGTTGACCAAGAAAAATGGATAGATGACTCTTCTTGCCTTTATGGTTAATTCTGCTGCCCTCCCAAAGGCTCCTAATAGCCACAGTCTCTCGTGGTAACAGGCCCCTAAGTGCCAGATGTGTACCTGTGTCATCAGGTTATTCTATGGCACAAGTATTCACATGTCCCTTTCACAGATGAAGAAATGGAGGCTCGGAGAGGGCTAGTGATTGCCCACAGGTGGGAAGCAGCCCCACTGGCTCCAGGACCTGAGCACATCTTGCTATGCTTGTGTGTGGCACCCACAACTCTACCCTGGGGGCAGCAGGGCTGGAGAATGAAAGGTCTGAGAATTCTCACTCCACCCGGGGCACCATTAAACCTGTGCCGAGAGGAAGGTGAGGAGCCTGAAAGATGGGAAGGCTGGCATCGCAATCTGATGGCCGGGTCCTGCTGAGAGCCTGGGGTCCTTCGGAGGAGGTGTGATTCTGAGGGTCAGTCCTCCACTCCAGCCCCAAGACAGTAGGGACCTAATCAACAGCTCTTCTAGTGACAAAGGCTTTCACTCCAGGTACAGCAGGCCCAGGGAAGGTGCCCCTGACTGTCTCATTCTGCTCAGCTTGTACATTGGCCAGGGAAAGCCCCAGGCTGGCACCTGGGGGACCTCTTCCCAGACCGGGGCTTTCCTGGGCCACTTTATAAGCTTTGTTAAGCACCAGACCCAGAGGCATAGACACACTATCTCCTTCTTCCGACATTCCTGAGATGTTTTTATATTCTTTACACATGAACTAACTGAGGCACAGGAAGTTACTGAGAGTTCAAGGTCAGACAACTACTACATGCAAGCTCCTAACCAATATGGTAGATTGGGGCCGGGGATTTAGCTCAGTGGTTTCGCCGCCTGCCGCACAAGGACCCGAGTTCGATCCCCATTACCAAAAAAACACAAAACTAAATGCCGATATTTTTTAAAAAAGAATCAATATGGTAGATTGCCTCTCTCCCCCTTCCTGAAAGACTCCAGAGAACACCCTCGCCCATCATCCCCTGGTCTCAGAAACTAGTAAATTAGTCCCATAATTCTTATGAGTGAGCTGAGCCCATATGTAACAAGGGAGTAGGTATAAAAACACTCTTGCCCTTTGCCCCAAGTATTCTTTCTGGATAGGGAATAAACTCCAGGGAGAGGGGAAAAAACTCGGCAAAACTAAAAGGACAAAAAAAAAAAGTTGCTTTCACAGACTTGTCCATAGAAATTGAATTATTAATTGCAAAACACCTGGAAACAATCCAATTTCACAATCAAGGGACCCATCTTAGGATGGGTTTGTTAATATGGTTAGTACGACGTACATGGACCTTAAACATAGAGTCAATTGGTTTATGTACATTTACAATTAACAGTTCAAAAGTAAATACTTCATTTTATTTTGATTTCAAAAATATTACATGAACAAGGAAAGCTTATACCATCTTCCCCTAGATTTTTTTAAGCAGGGTCTCACTATGTAGCCCAGGCTGGCCTCAAACTCACAGCCATCCTCCTGCCTCTGTCTCCTGAGTGTTGGGATTATAGGCATCCATCACCATGCCAGGCACCCTTTTTCTTTTGAAGAATTTAATAGCACCTTTAAAAAATTATTTTTGGGAAGGGTAGGGGAAAGGAAAGAAGGGAATGGAATGAGAAAATGAAAATAAGGAAACAAAGTCTTTGTAAATAGGGAGGGGCAGGGGAAGGGGAAAAGATAAGAACCAAGAGAGAGTATGTAAAGGTGCATATCTCCAATGATGAATGCCAGTATATTGCACAACTAAAATGTACCAATAAAAGGATATACAAAACAAAATATTTTTGGTGGTAATGCAGTACTGGGGATTGAACTCTGAGCCTCACACTGACTTACAACCCCAGCTGTTTTTATTCATTCCTTTTGTTTTGAAACAAGGTCTTGCTAAGTTGCCCAGGCTGAGCAAAAGCTGTAAAGGCAAAGGTTAAAAAATGAAACCCGGAGCAGATAATTCACAGCGTTTCTGAGACGTACTTCAGTTTCTTGGCTGTGTCTGCTGTCAAGTCTAGCTTAGGTCTTTCTTGCTGTGACAGGTGAAGTGACAGCTCCACTGGTGAGGGGAAGCTAGCCGCCAGAGTGAAGGGACAGCCCCCGTGTGAGAACCAGTGCTTCTTACCTGTTCACAGGCCAGGACACAGTCTTCTAAGCCTTGCTGGTGGCTTTAAGAGGCTTCAGGGCCCCGAAGCACGTGCCTAGGGGCTTCAGGCAGTGGATGCCAGGTAGAAGAGGCTGTGGCTGCCCCAGCCCACAGTGCAGACTTCCTAACTGATGAGGGTGGCCGGGAACACAAGCTACTGCAGCTCCGACTTGACTAGAACTGGAGCCAGCAAGGATGGGGCGGGGCCATGTGGGCCCAGCCTGCCTCAGAGTAGAAAGGATCAAACTGAGATCACCCAGAGGACAGTTCTAACTCGGCTAGGGGTGTGTGTGGGGGAAGGGGGGTGGGGGGTCCCTACGACACAAACCCTGGCTTCCAGGCAGGCTGTGTACTGCTTCAAAGGCCTGCCCAGCCCGTCCCCAGCACACATGGCCCCTGACCAAACCCTTATCACAGAGCAGCATACAGCTGTGGTAATGACTAGAGGGCATATGGGGGCATGAGGTACCTTCCTCTGACACCTCCCATCACAGCTGAGGACAGAGAAATGACCCTGACTACAGTCCACAGGCTGACATCTTACTCAAGATTCCATAGTCGGTTTCTGAGGTCTAACCCGAAAGACTCAGACACATCCCTGTGGGGACTCCTGTGGGTGCCATCCCTCAGCCACTCCTGACATGGGCACACTCACCTTACCTGGGTCACAGCACCTGGGTTCTGTGGGACCCACAGGCATAGCACCATAAGCTCTACTGAATTTTCATAGCAAGCTCCTCAATTTTCCTAGACCATATTTGGAGTATTTAGGGACACTCAACCCCCTTCCCCAGGAATATTTCAGGTCTTCCACCACTGGACACGACAGAGGTTGGGGGGCTGTGTTCAAACTATCCAAGAACTTCCCTGCATGTGGCACAGAGCCCTCCATTAAGGGCCCTCAGCACTTTGTGCAGGAATGCTGGTCTGGACCTAGACACTAAACGTCAATGAATGTAAGTTGGGTTTTTTTTTTTGGAGCGGGGTAAGAAATGCCCTGAACATGCAACTGAACAATCTGCCCACACTGGAATGTGCCCAGCTAAGTCCCCACCCCTCCCCCCAGCAGTGGCCACCCTGGCCACAGCCTCTATGCAGCCCTGAGGAGCTTTGCCAAGGCTGATTCAGTCAGGCAGCTCGTGGGAGGGCAGAGGGGGCAGAGATGGGGACACAGCCAGGGGCTTCACAGAAGCTTGGGTCTAATGCCACTGTGCCCCCAGGGCCTCCTGGCTTGGGATGTGCCTTTCTTCCAAAGCATCCCATACAGGACAGTAGCTCAGGATGGGGGTGGCTTGTGTCCCCTCAGACCCTCCCATTCTTTTTTTTTTTTTTGGTACTGGGGATCGAACTGGGGTCCTTGTGCAGGCAGTGAAACCACTGAGCTAAATCCCCGGCCCTAGACCCTCCCACTCTGACACTCAGCAGTCTCCTGTTACCATGGCCCCAGGTCAGTCTTCTTTTCTACATTTTAGAAATTCAGACCAAGCTTAGGAGATGGGTGCCCAGTGTGTGGCAGATGGATGTTTCTGATGACTTTACCCAGTAAAGCAAGCACCTTCCTCAGGTTATAGCACCAGCTCCTTAAAGGCAAGAGTATCTTCCTAAAAGCAATAAATGCTAATAACCATCGGTAAGTATCATGACTGTCACATTACTAGCTTACATATATCCATGGACTACAAGTAGCTTGTGAGAATCCCCTAACAACCTCATCAAAAGCAACTCTCATTCCAAGATTTTCTTTGTGGTCAGAGAAAGGGGTGAGTTCTCCTGGGTGGGTCTATGGATTGCAAATGTGAGGACCAGGCTCTGGCGGGCAGGCAGAGGCGGAGACCTGAGACTCACTTGCCTCTGGCTTCCAGAACCTGAAGGTGTGGACAGAGCACTGACTATGGGGAGGGCTGGGTACAGTGGGACTGAACCCGGCCTTTCAGCTACTTTCAGGTGCGCTTTCTCATCCCTTTCCAAAACCAGAAGTTTCAAGCTTGGCTTTCTTTGATAACATCATTTCCTTCCCTCTCCATCAGAACTTGTGATTCCTTCTGACCACTGACACCTGATTGAGAAATGCTCAGAAGCCCTGGCATCGTGAAATTGTTTTGGTTTTTTGAGGTAAGATCTCATTATGTAGTTTAGGCTGGCCTCAAACTCACTGTGATCCTCCTGCCTCAGCCTCCAAGTGCTGGGGATTACAGGTATGCACATCTGAAATCACAAAATTTTTCAGAAGAGACCAGGAGTCTGATACACACAGATGATTCTAATGTCCAGCAGGGTAAGGGCCACTGCTGTTTCCTACCAATTCCTGACCTAAAACCCCATCCTCTCTTCATATCTTAAGAATCAGGACCTTCTGATTTTCCTAAGTCTAGGGCTGTGCCTATTTGATCTCAGTTAACCAGACATGGGCCTTAGGTTCTTCTGGAACTCACTGCTGTGTGCTCTGGCTCTAAGCTCCCTCACCTCAGAGGGATAGTGACTGGCAGGTTATCAGTTTCCTCCAACCTCTGGAACAGAGCAGACCAGAGAAGGGCAGAACAGGTGCTCAGTAAACTCTTCCAGTGGCTGGTATGTCTCCTGATGGCTTTTTCAAGCTTCTCAAAAACAGCTCTTGCTTGTACTGGTTCAGACCAATGACAGGGATGCTTCAGATGCTGTGTCTGTACCTGCTGATTTCAGTTCTCTCAAATGTCACATGAGCCCTCCATGTTGGACTCACAGGTCTCCAAATATAAACCACCCACAGCCAAGCAGTGTTTACTGGGTTCCTATCAGAGAGCCATCTGTTCCCCCTACATTACTTTTTTGGACAAGCCTTGATTTCAGCGAGATGTTTCTTCTGAATTCTGGATATAGCCAGCCCTTGGAAATTAATTCTAAGGATGCAATAAACTTAAAATACGCCCATACAATAACATTTCACATGCAAATGGCAAGGACAGTGACTCATGGAAACACAAGGCACTTCCACTTTGAATAAAATTTAGGAATTGAAAGATATTTGAAAGCCAAGTTGATACCATCGGAAGAATGCCTCAGCATTTCTGGCTGTGGTCATAAAAGCGGCCCCATCCTGGAACCCAGCACTCTACTCTCTCTGTGACAGCAAGCTCTGAGCGTCTTTCCCAGTCCCAGCAGCTGTCTCGCCAGCAATACATTTACACAAACCAACAAAAGCAACATTCCAGCCACAGTTCAACTTGAACCCTTTCCCCTCAAGGAATGCTGTTCTTGGCAAGAGATCTTCCAAAGGAAAGAACATCTGCAGAACCTCTGGCCCTGAGGTCTGGGGAAAGCTGAGACAGCTGAAAAGTTTGTGGTCCTCTCTTAGATCCAAGTCACGGGGGCTGAACAGAGGAGCAGGGTAGGAGCAAACCCAAAAAAGGGCAGAGACCTTGGGGTTACGAGATTTTCTTCCCTCTGAGCTCGAGAGCAGCCTGAGTTTTGGAAGGCTGGAGACAGTGTTCTATTTACCTGGTCCTTCAATCTAGCCAAAGGAGCCAACTAGATCCTCTTACCAACTACACAGATGGGACTTATAATACAGCCTCATCCCATGGCTGTTAAACACCTTTTGTAGGTCCTGAGGCAGCAGCAACAAACAAGATTCTTCTCAACATACCATTCCTGGTGCTGGGACTAGAAATTCCACTTGCCAGAGCCCTTCCTCTGTCAGAGAACAAGCAAATTGTAGAGTGCAAAAAATGCTCAATGGGGACAATTCTTAGATAAACTCTGTTTTTTTGAAACAGGCTCTTGCTCTGTAATTCAGGCTGGTCTCACACTCACAACAATCCTCCTGCTTCAGTTTCCCGAGTGCTGGGATTACAGGCATGTACCACCACGCTGGGCTCTATAAACTCTTCCTGTCAAACCTGAGTTAGGAAGGAGGCTAGGGACAAGGAGACACTGTTCAACCATCTCTGCTGAGTGCCTCAGACAATGGCACATCTGCATCAATTTGGCAGAATGGATTTAGGGCCATAGGGAAAAATGAGCTCTGAAATTAGGCTTCCCAAATGCGTTTCAGAAGTACTATCTCCCATGCAAATCCATGAGCTAAGTGAGAGGGAAAAAAACCCAAGCTCGTTATTTAGGGATTCAATTCCTAGCCAAACCTATGTCTCTGACTACTCTAAAACCAAATCGTGATTAAAAAGCTACTTGCTTCCAGAGGACGGCATCAGGAAACCTCTGCACTGGACTGTTGGCTGTGCAGAGGTTGTGTCTAACACTTCTGTTCCTGATTCCTACCAAGTGCCAGCTGCAGAGAATCTGCCCGTTTAGGTGGCTGAGAAGCAGATGAAAGAATATTTTACTTTGTGAAGTGCTGAGAATAGCAGTGAGCTCAGGTTTCTCTGGGTTCAACACACCGAAAGACTGTTGAAAAGATTAGAGCTTCCCACATAGCTAGGCAAGAGGAATTTCCAGGCGTGGGCTGGAACATATCTGAAAGTGGGTCACTTCCGGACAGCAAGCTCTCAGTGCTCCCTCCTTACACACATTCCCAATGCCCTCTAGAACTGGGCTAAAATGAATGCTGTACACAACCCCCACCCCACCTAGTCACCCATGTGCCTCTCAACAGGGCCCACATACACTCACTGCTCCCAGGCTAGTACCAGGGTCTGTCTGTATTTATACTAGAGTCTGTCTGAATTTACTGACCTGTCCTAGAAGTCATAGGGGCAAGGAGCCATGGAAGTAAATCGAACATCTTTAAGTGACATTGCCCAGCTGGGAAGCATCCCAAACTCATTATTCTAGGACCTCAAGAGTAAAAGGGAGCTGAGATAGAGGGAGAAACATCAAAAACTGCTCATAAATGGGAACAGCGGGAGATGTCTGCATGGTTAGTGCACATCATCTGCACCACGAGGGACCAGAAGCCAAAGCAACCATTATGGAGCCAACAATAGTAGGCCACAGGGTTGTCAGAAGTCCAAACAGGTACCTGGAAGGACGGAATAAGCTCAGGTCTTTTTGCTCCAACCTGAATTCTCATACCCAGAAAAAGATACAGATATCAGCCACCTTGAAAACCAGGTTTGTATTTCCGGTTAAGTTCCAGAGCAGCAGAACTCAGGAACTATACTGCATCCAGCCTGGTCCCACCTTAGCTTGTCTCCCTCCTGCAAAATAACATCATACAAAACTGTATTTACAGGAAAAGTTAAAAATTAAGGATGTGTACAAAAGTAGACAAGAAATATCAATGCAGGTCAGCTTTGGGAATAGGAAGCATCATGCTCCATACTGGAGCCTGGGGTGATGTCTCATGTACTAGGCAGGAAGAAGACAGTGAATCTCAGTGCCAGTTTTAGGGAGAACCATTTGTTCATTCATTCATTCCAAGGGAAGAGGTGTGGGGGAAAGGACTACTGGCATTGATACTGCAGTCTTAACTATCCAGTCATTTTTGTCTTGCCACATGACAGAAGCCTGGCTGGGGTGGGGGGAGGTGGTGCAACAAAACCCAGAGTCTCTTGCAAGCCCCACAGAAGTACAGGGCTCAGAAGGCATAACGAGTCCGGATATCCTCAAGCTTCTTGGACACCTCAGGAGGAGTTCGGTCCAGTTCTTCAGAGACATTCTTTTGCTTGTTGGGCTCCATAGAGTTGAACTGTTCACAGAGGTCTCCATCAATCACATTCTAGGAGGAGTAAGAGGGAGAAAAAGATCAGACACCCAAAGAAAAGGGTACACACAAAATCAACAGCTGGGGAAAAGTTTTTCACTCTCTTCCAAGCAGCCAAACCCCATTCATTGAGCCAAAGACATATTCTAAGTTGACCCTGAGTAACCAGAGTTTAGGTTGCCAAAATCTGGTGCAGCCTTTTCCCTCATCTGCCCTGCAGGGAGAGGTCCTACAGTATCACTAACCACATGTGCCCATCGCTGCCTCCATCCACCCTCTGCCTCGCTGCTCCTCCTCCACTCAAGGCCATTCTGACCTTTACGAAACACAGCCCCACAGAAAAAGACCACCAAGACTCCCCTGACCTACCTTAACTGGGAAGTAATAAGAGCGAAAGCTGAGGTGGTCCCGCCCACAGAGAGGGGGATGTTCAGACCTCAGGTGCATTTCCACGTGTTGGAAAAAGTCGTGATCCTGGTGGAAGAAAAAAATGCATCACTGATTTCTTTTATAAAAAGTGTTTTCAGGGCTAGGAATGTAGCTCAGTGGTTCCACTGCCTGCCTCGCAAGTACAAGGTCCTGAGTTCAATCCCCGGCACCAAAAAAAAAAAAAGTATTTCCAGATGGATGTGGTGGTACACACCCATAATCCCAGCACTCGGGATGCTGAGGCAGGAGGGTCATGCCACCCTGGGTTACACAATAAGTTTAAGACCAACATGGATTACATAGCAAGATCCTGCCTCAAAAACATAACCAAAAGGGCCAGGGATGTACCTCAGTGGCACCGTGACTGCCTGGCGAGTGCAAGGTCCTGAATTCAATTTCCAGTACCAGAAAAAACAACAACAAAAAAAGGCCAGGTGTGGTGGCACGCACCTATAATCCTAGCACTTAGGATGCTGAGGCAGGAGGATCACTGGACTACATTGTGAGTTCAAGACCAGCCTGAACTACACAGCAAGACTTTGTCTCAAAAAAACAAAAAAAGAGGGGCTGGGGAGGAAAAGAAAGTGATTTCAAGTGCTACTCTATAGTTTCCAGAAACAATGAACAGACAAATCATTGATTTTTACCACACAAACAGATAATAAATATCTAACTACTCTTCTGATGGTCACAGGTATTTCTGCTAAGCAGGACAGCTAAAACTCAAAAGAAACCTCATTGTATTTACAGTATAATGGAGACTGTCATCTGCAAATGAGCTCTGAGATCAGATTCCTGATCCAGACTTGGCACAAAACAAATTTAGCTGATCCTAGAATTGATTCCGTGAGGCAAAGGTCACTCCAGGGTTCATCATCCCATCCTTCCAAGTCAGTGGTGCTCTGCTCAGGGGCTCTGAGCTCAGAGCCCTGCACCTACATCAGAACTATCACAGTTTAAGATGAATGACAGTGCTCCAGGGGAAATACACGCAGGATTCCTATCTCCTCAGAGCTTTTTAACAGTCACTTTATAAAATGTCTAGAACACTCTTAATTACAAGTAAGGACAAACAGATTTGACTTCTTAGGTGGATTCAGCAACAAGAAACAACCTTAGGAATGCAAGGCCAGAGTGATGTGGGGGCTCTCACCTCGTGGGATGTGAATGGGACAAGGATGCCAATTCCTCCTGACAAGGTGGTGTAGACGAGCGACTCAGAGCCTCCAGGGATCAGCGTGGTCTTCTGTAAGGACAGCACCGTCTCCCCAACATGGTAGTTCATGATCACTTCTGCCTGCACGTGGAAAACAGTCTGGTGACTACGAGTACCCTAGGAAGCTACTCTGGTTTCCAAGAGCAAGCAGTGCTTCCAGGTACACTGCACTATCTTTTATTTTTATCTTTATCTTTTAAAACCCCAAAATTACTGCACTTGAAAATATTTTTTTAATTCTTTCATTGTCTACTTACAGCTTAATGTGTAAGAAAATATCTTACAAAACAAGCACCTGCCTACAGGAGCAAAGCCAGGAACCCAGAAAATAAATAGCTGGTTGGTATTGGCAGTGAACCTTATGACCCTCCTCCGAGGATGGCACTACTCTCAAAAGACTTTTACACTGATTCACAGAACAACTTTGAAAATGTACTATTTTAAATCATAAATGGGATAATGACATGGGCACCTTATGATAAATCCAATATTCATCCATTACAGGCCTTCTTATCAGCTTAGGGATTTGGGAAGGCAGCATTTGGTAGTCTTGTGCACTGTGGATAATTCACTTAAAACCTTCTCCAGTGAAGGCACCAGGGAATGTACTGGGAGACTTTCCCTTGTGCCCTTTCTGCAATCTTACCTTCTGGGAGGCCCCATTCAGCAAGCCCCGGTCCCACAGTGCTTTGTTTCCTGTGGGATCTTCATCTACCTCATCGTTGGTATTAGGTGGAAGCCTTACCTACAAAAGTGACACAATCAGAGGGATGTCTGAGCCAGGTGAGCTGGGTCATCAAGCAACATCTGCCCCAGTCTTTGCAAGCAAGCCCAGGGGCACTACCTAGACAGAGGCCTAAGCCCAAGTCTCCTACACCTGCTCCAGGAGCTGTGAGTGGCAAGAGACTCTAGAGAGCCAAGCCACAAGCAAGGATTCAGCACAACCAAGGGCAAAAACAGATCAAAGAACATAGACAAGAGAAATCAGGCTAGACTTAATAAAAAGACAAGCCAAAATTTGCTAAAGCTAAACACATCATTATTGAATTTTATTCCCTTAATTTTAACATCCCATATTAGAGATCATCATCCTGGCTCACTGGCTTTACCAACAGCACAAAGTGAGCCAGCTTTCCTACACCTAACTAATCCCAAGGAAACAACATTAACTCACCACACAAATGTTGCCAAACTTATCTGCCCCAGCTACAGTGTCATAGTCAAGAAGACTAGCTGTAGTGACCCATCGGGGATAGGTGTCGTCGGCAAAGATGATGAGCTGGTTCTCATTACGCTTGTAGCGAACCCAGATGAAACTTTCTTGGACATCAGACACAATCACCCTGTGTCCAATAGTCTGGATCCCAGATATATAATTGGCAATGTGCTGGAGAAAAACAAGGACAGCAATGAGTATAATCCTGGAATTCAGAACCCACAGAAGGACCAGCTTTCTCTGACTACAACATACATAAGGTCTGTTAAACAGCACGAGAAGCAAATACCAGTAAACGATAATTTGCCGGGCGTGGTGACACATTCTGTAGTCCCAGACCAGTCTGAACTACATAGCGACTCTGTCTCAAAAAACCAAATAACTGGGGCCAGGGATTTCGCTCACTGGTTTCGCAACCTGCTGTGCAAGTACAAGGACCCAAGTTAGATCCCCGGTACCAAAAAAAACCAAAAAAAAAAAAAACCAAATAATAAAAATAAATGCAGGGTGGGCCAGGGATTTAGCTCAGTGGTTCTGCCGCCTGCCTCGCAAGCACAAGGTCCCGAGTTTGATCCCCAGTACCAAAACAAAACAAAACAAAAACACAAAACGCAGGAATGTGGGAAAAAGAGCTATTTTTCAAATATAGTGGAAATATATGCTCAACTCGCACAGTTAAATTTTTTATAAAAACAAGCAGGTTCTTGATTCAAAAAAGCTAAGAAATATGATGTACTCGTGCCCTCTCAAGCAAAGCTCAAAGGCCTAATTCTGTGGTTGGAATTGGGGGAATATAACATGGTCCTAATAAAATCACATGACTTTTTTGGTACCAGAGATTGAACTCAGGACCTTGCACTTGCCAGGCAGACACTGTGCCTCTGAGCTAAATCCCCAGCCCCAAATCACATGATTTTTAAGAATCAGTGCCCACTACCTTGCTAATGCCCACTCCTGCCTTATTAGCTAGATCTTTGCCCCATCACCAGCACATTTACCTTATTCTCACACTTTCGGAGTAACTTCTTCTTCCCCAAATCATAGACTCGCAAAAGCTTCCCCACTCCAATCAAAACCCTCCCTTGGAATGGAGCGATGGCAGCAGGGACCTCTTCCACTGGAGTCTGTAAGTGGAAAAACAGGTCATACAACTACATAGCTACAGGCTAATCCCACCCCCAGGACCCAGAAGCACCTGCTTCTACAGGAACCTATCAGAAAAAAAGATAGGAAGCGACCCTATTTTGCTCATTAGAGAAATAAATCATCCATCCAACAGTCCCAGTGAGACAGCATACCCAGGTAAACAGGTCCCACACAAGGCCTTTCACCCAGCAAGTGTATCAAGGCCACAAGTGAGAAAGAAGTCCTGATAAATG